TCTTTTATTATAATAAAAACTTTTATTGAAGTCTTTTATTCATCTTTCCACAACTTCTCAATCACATCCATGCTACAGAAACAGATTTCCTTTCACTTTCACTGCGAAATACTTTTATTTAGACTTATTAAGGTTCCTTAATACTCCTCATAATTTTGGTAGAAGAAATTCATTCTCCACTGTATCTTCAAAATATTTCTAGCTATCCTTTCCTTGAGAAGAAATTACTGATTCATTTATCTAATCAGACTCCCAGTCCCCTTGGATCCGTCTTTCTCCTCGTCTAGCACTTAGGTTGGAGGTGTCATACAAAGTGACCCATGCTACTGCGGTGCACACCCGGATGCTCTGCCTGCCTCGTGAGTCTTACCGCCGGGGAGGCACATGGCTCACACGACTGGGAAACAGGGATTCCAGGCAGTTTGGTGCAGCCAAGCCTCATTCACTCATGGAGAGAGAAAACTGATGTATGAACTTGCTGTCTTGTTCAAACATGGAGGAACTTGCGTTTCTCCACATTCTTCCCAACACTGACTACGACCAGACTTTAAATTCATGCCAACTTGAAGGGGTTTGGATTTAACTTTCATCATGCTAATCATACCGATGTCTGAGCACTTTTTAAAGATTATGTTTAGCCACACGAATGGATTAACTTCTAGGGTATTTGTTAAATGGTTGATTGTTCCATTTCTGACTTTTTCATTGATCTCTCAGAGATCTTCATTCTACATGTGAAGTCTTTGTTAGTTTTGTGGGTGGCAGATATCCTGCTATCCTGTTCACTTACTATTATATTTTGATGAATGGATGTAAACGATAATATGGTCAAACTCATAAATGATTTGCTTCATGGTCAGTTTTTTTGCGCCTTAAGAATTTTTTTTGTATTCCAAAATTGAAGAAAAACATCCATTATCCAGCATTATTGAAATATCAAAGTTTAGTGCTAAGCTTCAATGTTTATATTAAATCACTGTCGTTGCTTTCCTTCTTGCACCTTTAAGCTTCTAAACAGGATGACTTTCCTTCAGCCTGAGAAACTGTCTTAGAAATTACTGCAAAACAAATTTGATGGAGAAGCCCTCCTTCCTTCCTCCCTGCATCTCCTTTCTTCCTTCTTTCCTTCCTTTTTTCCCTTCCTTCCTTTTTGCCTTTTTTTCCTTCATTTAAAAAATGTTATATATTCTATTGCAGTATTTAAATGTGTATAAAAGTCTAAGAATAATTATTACTTTGTGTCTTCACGTTGAGGAAATCATACCATGGTCTTTTGGATATTCTTGTAAAATTTTACCTAATTCTCCTTACTATAGCATCAATTTTTATTTCTAAATCTGCATGACTGTGACATTTCCCTTTGTGCCATTTTCTTCAATTTCACTGTGAAGTGTCTTAGTAGGGATTAGTCTAAGTTTCTGTTTGCTTGGGACTTCATGAACTTTAGTCTACTACTCATTGGTGTCTTTTACATCTTTTTTTGTTTTTTTCCTGTTCAGGGAATTGAACTCATGACCTTGTGCTTGCCAGGCAGGCGCTGTGCCACTGAACTAAATCTCCAGCCCCCTCTTTTACATTTTTGGAAAAAACTCTTTTCTACTGTTTTTGCAAACATTGTCTCTGTCATGTTCTCTCTGTTCCCTCTTTCTGGGGGTCCACATAGGCCCATCTTCATTAACTTCCTATTCTTACAAGTCTGTCCTTCTGCTCTTGGGTTTTCTGTAAATAATCACTTAATCAATTTTCAGGTTTACTGAGCTCCCTTTCTTTTGTATGTGATTTGATCTCAAGGACATAAATTCAATAATTAACTTCAGTTACTATGATTTCTATTTCTATAATTTCTGCTTGATTCCTTTACAAGCTCACCCTGGAATTTTCTTAAAGGATTTGAGTTCCTTGCAAAGTTTCTAAGTGTTGTTTCATGTCCATAAACATAGTAAATTTGACAGTACACGCTGTCGGGGTTGCTGTTGCCGCTTCTCATTATGCTGTCTTCTCGTTTTCGTGCCATACTACAAGTGATAGTTTGACAAGTATTGTAAATACACACGACCATGCTTAGATGTCTGTAAGAATATTAACTTACTCTGGAAAGGAAAGCTTGATATTTTTGTGAGACATCTAGGTAAAGGTGGTCTCTCACCCACCCGTCGACTCACCAACTGTGGCATTTTAAATTTGCACCACCGTGAGGAAGATACCACGTTATTTGCCTGCCTCATGTTCCCCACCGTGGCAAATGACGTTGGTGCTTCTCGGCCGCACACCTTGCCCGGGGCGTGGACAAGCCTCGCAGCAGCGAGCAGTGCCGCCTCGGCTCTGAGCCGCGAGCCTGCTCCTCTCACAGGTGGCATCGCTTCCTGCCTCCTTACCTCTTCAGTGCTGTAAGAGTACGTTAAAGACCGGTTTGTTAATAACTAAAACTGAATAATGATCGGCATGGCCATCTTGTGTGAAAATAATTTTTGTTAAGTTAAGGGAAAGCCACTTAATTTAGGGTTGCACTAGTGTAGGTAAAGAATTGGTTTTGTATTTATATAAGGTGTCAGGGAAGAGAAGGGACATGCAGGTAAAATATGCAGGAAAAGGGCTAAATGATTTCTAAAACATATATACAATTATTCAGGGATACATATTGCCAAAGTATTTTAAAAACAATTTTGAAATGTATTCTTCAGGTTGAAGAAAATTTTCTGTGCGTATTATTTCCTGAATGACGAGCAATATTTTATTCTAACAAGGTAACCTCTCAAAAATACATTTTGGAAAGCCGTCTCACATGACGTTGTGACAATGCTCAGCATTTATTTTAAGATGATCATACTATTTAATTGGTTTGTAATATGTGTCTTTAAGAAAAGCAATGTCAAATGGCTTGAGACTCGGTACTACTCAGGAGTCTAGTGAAGGGATTCTAGGGCGCCTGAGTGGTGACAGGGTCTCTAATGTCAGGACACCCAGTGTGATAGGGTCTCTAATGTCAGGACACCCAGTGTCATCATGTCGGATTTTAGCACCACAAGATCTCATTACATCTTGCAGGATTTAGTGAGGAATTAGAAGCTATAATCAGAAATATAAACAAAAATAATAATTCTGATATAAACATAAAATGACCCTTGTGTACTTCATAATACAATTGCTTTTATAATCTTTGCAGTTTCTAAAATGTTTAATTTTGGTAAAAAGCCAAGCACTTCACCTGCAGATATGAAACTTCACATTCTTCATAGCCTTGATTGGTTAATGTGTTTTAGTTACATGTATTGATGTGTGTGTATATGCATATGTATGTGATTATGTGCAAGAGTGTGTATTCATTCAGATACATACACTAAAGAAAAGCAGATTGAAAATATTATCTGTTTGTATTACTCAGAAAACATTGAAATAAAGTGCAAATATGAACTATGAAGAGCCATTAGTCAGGGAACATGAACTAACCACATGTACATGTTAACAAGGTGCTTATTATTCATTTCTATCTTGTTACCCATGTTGGATTTTTGGAATGTGATGACCCAAGAAATGAGTTTCTGTCACACCTCTTTCTAGCTGGAGAGTTCAGTGTCAAGAGCATCCCCAACCTTCTTTGACAACATGAAATAGTCATGACTTAAGTCTCTTTTGGATTTGGAAGGACATGCCGTATAGCAGAATACAAGGGTCAATCTGTTCCTGCGAATTTTCCTAGATAGTGGTCTGCTGGCTGGAGGAAGGTAACAGAGATCACACTCTGCCAGAGCTAGGCAAAGCACGGGAGCGTGGAAACATCACTCTCATTGCTGACACGTGATGCCACAGTGGCCTTTTCTGCATGGCAATCTGTGATGGCCCCAAGCACCAAAGAACCAGTGCTTGAGTACTTATGTTCTGTGACATTACTTTGACTAGAATTTCTTCTTGAGATGAAGGCTGGGTTAAGAATAAAAAAACAGAGGACAGAATGGTGGTGGAGGATGACCTGCCATGACTGAGTGTAATCATGTTTATTTGAATTTAGAAGAAAACCTTCTCCTCTCAACTGCCCATAAAAAATACCACCAACCACATTCAGGGAAAAAGACAGTCATAGCAAGCTTCCACATCAGAATTTAAATTAGAAGAGTCACGTGTGATGTGGCTTACTTGGGTAAGTCGGACAGAAGTCACAGCACAAGATTCAGCCCGAGTGTGGAGAAGTGACAGTCTGTGAGCATCGGCCGGGGACCAGAGGATGCGAACTCATCGAGGGGCCCCAGAATCCCTTACGATAGCAGGCAAAGGAGCTGTCAGTTCTCACTGTCGTTTCAGACTGTCTAAAAAGAAAAGGAAACCCAGACCCATTTCAAATAATATGTTCACAGCTCAGCAGAGTTATTGACAGAAATGTGTATATTGGTTAATTACAAACATGTTTAACTTTATAGTGTAGGGAATGGTGAGAGTCTTTACCAACACTCTGGTAAAGAGAGCTGCAGAGTTTCCCTCAGTTATTGTTGGGTTAGTGTCCTCTTTCTCCCTCTCTCCCTCCTCCAAATGAGCTACATTTCTTGTGTCCATTACGTTTTGCACATTGTGATGCATTCTGATCAGTCAGCTGTGCTACTGCTCTCTGCTGCCAACCAGCATGCTCTCAAATACCCAACGTAGAAATCTATCAGAGTATAAGCAACATTGTCTTCATTTCAATACTTATGACACACTACATGTCAATTTGGCAGTTAAATAATTTATCTCTCTTTTGGATGCAATCTGCCAGGATTGTTATAACTTACTTCTGATATTCATTTCATGTTTAATAGTTCCTTGTCTTATGAGGATATTTGTCAAGCAATTAAATTCAAATGTCATTCTTATCTTTTATTAGAAACAATTTACTCTTTCCTTATTTCATTGTAAGCTTTTTTGTACACTTTATTCCAACTAAATGGGCAAAGGACCAGCATGGAAGAGCGGTGTGGTAACTAATGTTGCAGAATCACCGCTCACGGGTGCGCTGGTTTCTCTTTGTGCAGAGGTGATCCAGCTGAGCCTGCCTGAGGACCAGAGACTGCGCGTCTCTGTGGCCACTGTGGGGCAGAGTGTGGTCCTGAGCTGTGCCATCCAGGGAGACCCGCGCCCCCCCATCATCTGGAGAAGGAACAACATTGTTCTCAACAACTTGGATTTGGAAGACATCAATGTGAGTACACCCCAGAGATGCTCAGGGGTTAGAGGATATGGGATATAATACGTACAGAAGAGGATCCTCAGATTGTCGGAGTCCTCATCCTGCTGGAGGGAGGTGCGTGGTCGGTCATGTGTAACTTCCCAGCCTACTGCACAGGTGTGATGAACAGACGATGTGGCAATGTGCTACTAAGAAAATATATTGGTGCAAAAGCATCATAAGGAGTGCCTATTATGTTTCAAAATGAAATTCTCATTCTTGAGTAAATTCACATCTGGAAATTAGTCCTATAAATGTAAGAACTTAATTATATATGGATAAGATCACTCACCTTCATGATTTTGTAAGATTCAAAAATTAGAATACCATCCATAGGGAATATGTGGTGATAGACACTAGTTACATGTATCCGTGAATCAGGGAAGGGAATATATATGTTGACATGAACATATAGTATTTATATGAAAATATACCCTAATTTAGAATGCTTCTACATAGAATGCTTTCATAAATGCAAATTTATAAACATGTATTTACAAAATTTATTTAAAATTTTCTTATTAGGAAAAAATTAAAAAATTATTCATGAAATATTTCTAAGGCCATATGCATGAACTAAATCACAAGATGAAGTAGTTTGAAGGTTGGGATACAGTCAGAGATGGAATTTTAAGGAAAGAATTCAGACTTATAAAATATATCTTTTCATACTTCATGCATTTCAAATATGTGGTTATACTAATTTTTAGTTAAAATATTCTTAAAAGTAGCATCATGGTACAGTTACTTAATAAGTGTCAGGCTACCTATGAAAAACCTCGAGGAAGGGCACAAGCTTGCACACCTGGCAGAGCATATCTTTTACGGAAACAATTACTTTTTAAAAGATCATGCCCTCTGACATCCTGACTGGGATCTGTGTCTACTGGACCAAGAGGGACCACAGCCCCACAGAGGGGTCTTATTACTATTGAGCAAGTACCAGGTCATTTCACGACAAGTGGAAAGGCATGTGCCCTTGTACCCAGCAATTCTTGGGCAGTCATTCTGGAAATCATGTTGCCAAAACTTGGACTCTCAGTTTCTTCAGTTTGTAACAATTAATATTTATGGAATGCTGCTGTGGTTGAGCACAGCCTTAAGAACTGTGAAAAAATAGAGGCATGAAAAGGCAGTATTTGCTTCAAAAATTTTTTAATATATTTGAAACAAGAAATATCAATTAAGAGAAATAGATAATTCACTTTTCTAGAGTACAGAGCACATGATTCTCTACTGAGGTACATTCCTAGAGATCCCCAGGTACACTCCTAAATTCAGTAGGGACGGCTCCAAAGCTGACATCAAAACAGCAACACAGCCCAGGACATTCATCAATTCATCAATAACTGAGCATCACCCTGGGAGATAAAGAAGTAAGAGTGATGTGCATGCAGAGTATTTGTGGAGTGGAGGTGAAGAAACTTCTGCCTTGGAGCTTTTGGACTGTGATAGTCTCTTGGAACATTTTTGATCATTACTAAAAATGCTATCATCTTTCCAAGTAAGTTTTCAACTTTATAAAGAATTTTAAAGCAGAAGTTCAAGCTACAATTCCAAATTCCTATTTGTTCATCTACTGTATGTTCTTTCTTAATATCTTAGAACATAATAAAAGCAGGAAACTTGTCCAATTTTTATTATTTTTTGTTTTGATGAAAGTTTTCCAAATTTGCTTATATGTGAGAGCTATTCTTCAAGATCTATGATTAATTCCATAAAATATCAAGAACCTAGTACTTAAACTAAGTGTGGTGATTCATGCCTGCAACCCCAGGGAGGTAGAGGCAGTGGGATTGCAAATCTGAGGCCAGTCTGGGCTAAATAGCAAGTCCAAAGCCAACCTGCAAAATAGTGGTATCCTGTATCAAAAACAAACCATTATCCTTCAGGTCAAAGGAAGGAAATGGCAATTTGTGGTTAATATGTGTATCAGGTAGAAATCAGTTTATATATACCTATTCTACATTTACATTCAGATTACAAAACATTCAAGTAGCACTTATATATTTTAAAAACATAACTATTACTCATCTTTTTTTTATCCACTTCCTCCCATTCTTAAGTACAGAAGAAATCCCGTGTGTGTGCACTTTTAATCCCTTTGTGTGGGTTGCATACAAAATTTCATTTCTTTAATAGGATGGGTACATATCATTGCATATTCTTTCACTACCTCATTTTCTCAGTGCTAAAAACAACTCCACGGATCATGGAATTTTATGGTGATAGGCATCCTTAGTTGTTTAACCACGGTCACAAACTAATAAGTAGAATTAAGGGCTAGGAATTTTCCATGACCTGATTGATTTTAGATCAGGAGTGTCCTAGCTGTGTGAATGTAAGCTGCTGTACAGAGTTTACTACCCTCTGGAAACACACTCTAAACAGTTCTGGCTCCTCTTTATTACAAACTGATTTGTTATGCACTGTTCTTCTGTGTGGGATGGACAGAAATTCAGCTGGTGTTTGAAACCTTCATTTTCCCTGTATTCATTTTTGCATCACATGAATAAGAATCACAAAGTGCACTAGCCTGCGTGAGGATGGTGCACAAGATGGGCTGTGGACTCAGACTGTGGTTTGCAATAAATACTCCCTGACTTAGGAGCAATGTGACCTCAGGTAAGGTGTTTAAACTCTCCGCTCCGGCACCTTCAGCTGCAAAATGAAGATACTATTATAACCAACACACTTTGGGGAGGATCACTGAGATACAGCATGAAATACTTCGTAAGGCACTCTGTATGTGCTGGATTGAACCAAGTCTCTGCTTTGTGACCTCACTCTTCCTCTCTCCTCTCTCTTCCCATTTCTTCTTCTTTTCCTCAGACATATTTGGAAGAACACGGCTGCACGCAGCCTGCCTAAAACAACAGGAATTTCCTGGTAGAATACATGCAATGTTTAAATAGAAGGAATTCATAGGAAATACTGCACCCAAACTCGTCCAGTTACAATAGCCACAGGAATTAAAAGACTTTTTTCCAAATTCAGTGCAGCTTTAGGAATATTAATTTTGGCTAGCAACCTTTTACTAATTCCTTCCCTAAAATATGCCATTATGTCCACTAAGCTGACTGAGTTGGTCTATTTGCACTTCCTCAATCTTTTATCTGCTCAAATTTTTAGAAAAAGACAATTGGCTTTTAAAAAAATATATCTGATTCCTATTGTACAAGTTACTCATGTCAGGGAAGATGAGTTAAGGAGGGTGAGGCAAGTGTGGAGACAAGGATATATTTCTGAGATAAGTATGAGGAAAAAGCAAGACTGATTTACAGGACTGGTAGTCAGGATTGAGTGAACAAAAGGTAGGATTTGAAATGTGGCACTGTTTGGGATACACAGACTGCACTAAGAAAGTTGCAAATACAATGGTACTTTCATGAATGTTCTCGGAAGCTTGTGCTCACAAATAATTCAGTTCCCAAACAAAAGCATTAAAAAAAATTGCTTGTGTCTGCAAACTCCACATTGGGTGACAAACACAACTAAAGCCCCAAAATTGAAAGGCAAATTAATTTCATGAACCAAGGCAACACTATAAGTGGTTGGACATTAGAAATTTTTGTTTTGTTTTTTGTTTTTGTTGTCTTGACTCATGAGAAATTAGATGTAAAACATCCTAGACATTGATGCTGACATCTTACTTATACTATCCATAGCTATTCGATATTTATAAATTGATAGCATGGTTTAAAATCAACTGAAATAAAATTGTCTTGCATTGTTTTGATTTCAAGTGTAGCTTTGCCTGTTCATAGCTATGAAACTATAATAAATTTGTTAACAAATTTTAAACTTCAGTTTTTCTGTAGTAGGGAGATCATAGTGTAATTGAATGAGATATAGCACATGAAATATACCAAATAAAGCACATAATTATTTGTATCAACATGAACATCTTAATTCCATATGGCACTGTTGACCATACATAATTCCAAATGTAGTTTCCATGGAAATACAATCTCTCTGAAAACATGGTTTAATTTACATTATTATGACTTGTAGTTACTTCACAGGTACATGTAGATAAGATAGAGATTTATCGGGCTGGGGATTTAGCTCAGCGGCAAAGCGCCTGCCTGGCAAGCACAAGGTTGTGAGTTCTGTTCCCGGTACCGGAGAAAAACAAAACAAAACAAACAAAAAAAAAACAAACCAAACAGATTTATCAGATAAAATTCATTCACACATACTATAAATATTTTTATTATAAATATGACACAAAAACATTCTTATTTCATCTGAAATAAGAATTTCATATTTTTTATATATTTTTATAAATATATACCTATATTTAGTTCATGATTTGCTTTCTCTCTATTAGCATGAAACTCAATTTTTTTGAATATTACTGAAGCCACTTTTCTACGAATGGCACATCAGCTTATATCACTGAGTTGAAGTGTTTTACCTGCCGCCATTTCTAGTGAACTTTGCTCATACCCTGTGTAGATTTCTGTTGTCTCCTGCGTGAGTGCAGCGCACACCCCGCTGAGGAAGGGCGTCTGAAGCTGTGTGTGGTAGTACCAGTTTGTTCTCAGGGTTGCACTTCTGACTTCAGTAGCATATGTTTTGATCAGCACCCTTTGGCCACACCTACGGTTTGGCTCTCTGTATCTGCCTAAACTGTGTCAGTGGTTGTGTCTATCACTGGGCACAACAGACTGGACCAAGAACTTGAGTACACGGAGTTTTTTCTTTCACAAAACATGCTGCACACGGGTGTCTTAATGCCCCTTGAGCACCTGACACTCAGCCCTCTCCTATCCTCCACGACCATGGCTTTCGTCTTTGGGGTCTTCTCTGACTTCAAAAATGCTGCAAGAGCTTCCGCCATCAAACTGTATTCCATCATCTGTGTTCCAGGCCCTAAGCAGGTGAAGAACAAAGGGCACTTAGCTTTGCTCTTGGACAGTCTTCCTGCATGTTCCAGGAGTGTTTGCAGGTCGCTGGTGTGCAGTAAC